AAACTCAAATGTAAATATTCTAATATTTTGAGATACTGGATTTTTGACTTTCACGAGCTGTAAGCCCTAATCATTAAAATAAAATACTTTTTTTGTTTTACTTTAAATGTAATGAATCTAGAATATATGAAAGTTTCAGTTTTTAAAATAAGTTACAAAAAATTAGATGCACCTGTATACAGTATACATATATCCATGACCACACATACTGTGACCCTGCAGCTAAACAATGCTAGTTTCAAGAGTTATTTCCAGCTCTAGCAAAAGTTTTTAAAGAGGAACTGTTCTTGATCTCATATATATATATATATTTTTAGAAACAGGTCTCCAAATTATAACAGCCTACTAATTCTCTCTTTTTGCAAAACAGTCTGTTGCAGCTCAATACCATTAACAAAATCAACCTAAAGGACCCTCGCAAAGAGTGTTTTTTTAAACAAAAATGCCATTTCATAAACAATTAATAGATTTCAAACAATTTTAAAGACAAGTAGTCTAAAATAAGAATTAATAAATTAATTAGCAATAGCACACATAAATACAACTGAATAAAGTCAAATTTAAAATAAAATGTAATCAAATGTAAAATAATACTAAACAGTTTTATTTTTATAAATACAATATGAAGTAATCCTTATGAAAGTTACGTGCGTTTCTGAGCTCACACATTCGAAGCACAGTACGAGACTGTGATACAGCATGTCGCTTACTAAACTAAGTTCTCTTTCATGTCTTATTGTGCTTAAACTGTCAAATACAGTTTACATCAAAATCACAAAAGTTACATAAACACAGTCAGTTATGTCTATGAACACAAACAGTTGGAAAATAAAACACGTGTATATTAGATCTGTGTGACAGCAGTGTAGCATACAGTACTTACAGTTGTCTGTGTTGTAAATATGGATTAAAAAACAAAAGAAAACAGAAAATCACTCACTGCTTTTAGCTGAATAAATTTTGTATCTTATTAAGAATGAATTTCATGCTTATATGCTGATTTTGAATGACCTAGGGAGGAGATAAACATGGTGGACTGTGTACCGCTCACTCAGGGGAGGAGCTAAGCTAATAAGTCAGAGAGCATTACCAGTTTTAGGGTGGAGGCTATTCAAAGTGACGTCACCTTGGAGGATATTTCTGAATGGCTCATTCTGAGACTGTTTCTGATTTATCAGGAGAATAAACAATGGAGTGGATGGATTTCTATCACAATAGGATGGTTGTGAACACACACTGCAGACACAATAGTATGTTCAAAAACAAAATAAAAGTGACTTTTGCATGATAGGTCCCCTTTAAATTTTATTCAACTAGAAAAAGCAAATAAAAGTTATTCTATTTCAGTTTTATTTCAATTTAGAAATTTTAATTTTAAAATAAAACAGACAACAAAATCAGAATGGAATCAAATCACAAAATCAGTAGAACATACACTGCAACATTACAAATCAACCATATGCTATCTGGAGCATTAGTATAACTATTAGGAAGTCCATTTTACACGGCAAGATGATTTTTTTAAAGACTGACTTTTGGGTGCCAGCTCACCATTTTCCAGGTTGAGCATAAAAAGCACCTGTTGTCTGTTGGATCAATGGCCTGGAAGATTTTGTAACTTCACCTACAATTTGTTATGACTTTTATGGGCCCTGGATATGTTTTGACATGCCCCGACATCTGTGCTTATTTCAGTTACTTATACTAATACAATTATATACTAAAGTCCCATTACACTGTGTTCAGCACAAAAAGCACTGAAAGTGCACCCATTACAGCTTCAGATGTTGTCTTCCTTTTTATCTATATGGCTTGGTGGATTCACATACTTCGTTAATGCAGATAAAAAAAACAAAAAACAAGTGATTGTGTTGGCACTTCAGTGTACTTAGAGGATGAATTAACCTCAACTTAATCTATTTAAAACATAGACTGTAAAAAAAAAAAAAAAGATAGACGACTCGTCTCCACTCCCTTCCAGTGTAGAAAGCTAAAAGTCTGTAGAGTCGTGATGTGGAGCCTCTAATGGCATTGCCGGAAAGAGCGGATTCACACACACTTACAGTACATATAATAATTATATTAAACAATAATAGTAATAAGCATTTTTACATTCAAATAATTCATAAGAGTATCGTCTAGGTTACTTGTGTAACCCTCGTTCCCTGAAGGAGGGAACGGAGACGTTACGTCAGTGACTGACGAATTGGGATCTCGCCCGAGAGCCCAATCACCTTCGAGTGTTAACTAAACAAGCCAATGACAGTTGGCGGGCGTGTTTCGCCACGCGCACCCCGCCCCGCAGCGCGGATATAAAAGGAGAGCGCGTGCAAACGCACATCAGTTTTTCGCTGAGGAGCCGAGACTACGTGCCCCGGCCGTACAGCGGTGGTACAGCAACTGTGGCAACGGAACGTAACGTCTCCGTTCCCTCCTTCAGGGAACGAGGGTTACACAAGTAACCTAGACGTTCCCATTCAGTCAGTCACGTTCAACGTTACGTCAGTGACTGACGAATTGGGATCCATATGGAAAACGCCACTATTGCTGACCCCCTCCAGTGCCCTGCGGAAGCCGGCAAGCCCCCCCACACCAGCTGGGGCGGAAGACAGGACAGCGGCTAGGCAGAGGTGTCCGCCACTGCTGTTCCATACAGTGGTGCATTGGATAACACTGGGAAAGCATACCCAGTTGGGACGCTACGGAAGCCACATCCCGCACACATAGGAGGTATTATGTGGAATTACACATATGGACTGGCCCAGGGCAGTACTACATATGGAAGTCTCTGCGGTAGACTCAACCCACCTGGGGTGAGATCACTACACTGCAGAGATGGCAGTGAACGACTGCCAGGGAAAGACACGAGCTCACCGAGAGGGGAGCCGTACCGTGGAAGAATACACATGTGGGATCACCCGAAGGGGGAATCACTACACACGGGCACCTAGCCCAGCACAAGGGCTGACCTTGGGCATGCACACGAGTGCTGAGCCTGGCGTCTGGCGCTCCGCCACGCCTGACCGCCGAGGGTGCGGGAGGAACTCCACCAGGGTTCGCCATGGGGAACTGAATGAGGAGCACAAGAGCGCACGTATCCGGTCCGTAGAGGGGAATGGCGCAGCAAGCGTGATCGACACCGAGCAGGTCCGGTGTTACTGCCTACCTGAGGCGAGTACACGAGAGGACACGGGCTCTACACGGAGATTATAGAATCTCGCAAACGTGTTAGGCGTCGCCCAGCCGGCAGCTCTACAGATGTCTGCTATCGAGGCGCCCCGCGCCAATGCCCAAGAAGATGCCACTCCTCTCGTAGAGTGAGCTCTCACTCCGAGGGGGCATGGTAAACGTTGGGCCTGGTATGCCAAGACTATAGCCTCCACTAACCAGTGGGCAAGTCTTTGTTTGGAGACAGCCTTTCCCTTCTGCTGACCTCCAAAGCAGACAAAGAGCTGGTCTGAGGTCCTGAAGCTCCGCGTACGGTCCACGTAAATGCGCAAAGCGCGAACGGGAACAGCTTTCTATTTGAATAGATTTTAAAATGTAATTTATTCATGTGATCAAAGCTAAATTTTCAGCATCATTAGGCCTACTTCAGTCTTCAGTGTCACATGATCCTTCAGCAATCATTTTAATAAGCTGATTTGCTGATTATCAAT